AATGGTGCTGACCTACCATCTAGCACAGGTACATAGTTTGCATCCGTTATATCCACACAGAGTGTGTACTGCACACACTCACACACCGGGGATTAGACCGGGGGCCTTCGTGCTGAGCTACATCTCCAGCCCATTTTTAAAATTCTTTTTGAGACAAGACCTTGCTAAACTGCCCACACTTGCAATCCTGCTGCCTCAGCCTCCCAAGTGCTAGGATCACAGGCATGAACTATCGCATCTGGCTGTAGCCATTCCTTTTTGATTCTTGTATTGTCCCGACTTTGCCAGTGGGAGCCCCTCGGGCCGCCGCCTTTGTCTTCTTCACCTGAGCACATTTGTCTTTGAGTGCAGCCTCCTTCTGTGGCGTGAAGCTTGTCCCAGGCTTACCTCAAACTCGCCCTACCCTTCGCCCTGGAAGCAGCAGGTTTTCCCGAGGAATCTGGGTCCTTGTAGTGGAAATAACATCTGGAAGCCAAGACCAGGGTGGTGCACCTGCCCCTTTCAGCCACTCTTTCAAACGCTGAGGGAAGCAGATGGTTTGAGACCATCCTACCCGGTGAAGAGCAACAGTGTTGCTGACTGTTTTATTACCTGCTACTGAGTAACACCTAACCCCCAAGACTTAGCAGCTTCAAACAACAAAATCATTTTATAATCTTTTGGGGTTTCTGTGAGTTAAGAATTAAGGAAATGCCAGGCTTGGTGGCCCATGCCTGTAATTCTAGCAGTCAGGAAGCTGAGGCAGGAGGATTACTGTGAGTTCAAGGTCAACCTTGGCTATACAGTGAGTTCAAGGCCAGTAGGAACTACATAGCAAGAAAAAAAAAAAAGAATTAGGGGATTGGGCATAGTGGTTCATGCCTATAATTCCAGCATCCAGAAGGCTGAGGCAGGAGGATCACTGTCCGTTCAAGGCTAGCCAGAGCTACATAGTGAGACTTTGCCTTGCAAAAAAATTAGGGAAGAGCTGAGGTGAGCTGGGACATTCTGACTATGGGTCTCTAAAGTGAGCACAGTGAGGCAGTGGCTAGAGTTGTAGCAGAAGGAGAGCTGCAGCACACATGCTGGCCACATCCTGCTCTCTTTGTGCAGCCCTGTGGCCTCTTCGTGTGATCCCTCCATGTGGGGGAGGCTGAGCTTCCTCTTAGCATGCGAGGGACCCATTCAGCTCCTACAGTGCCAAGGACTCCAGGGTGAATATTCCAGCAAATGTAGCAAAAGCTGCATCTCTTTTATGACCTAGCCTTGGAAGCTGCAAGCCACCAGATGAAAGGTCCTAAAAATCCAGGGATGTACACATGGATGAATACACCCTAGGAGGAGTCCCACAGCAAGAATTAGGTGCAGGACAAGGTGTTATAGTGCCATCTTCAGGAAGGGGTTTGTCACACTGACCCAGTGTGGTATTGTAGCAGCTAGACATGCAGCCAGCAAATAGGTCACCCTGCTGTGAAAACTGGGCATGCAACTCCGTGTCCCACTTTGTGGGCACCCATCTTTCCTCATAGTGAGCTTTCAGGTTCAGATCAGAGGCACAGTATCTATATTAGCCAGCTTTCCAGTTGCTAAGATGCAATACCCAACACCCACAGGGTAAAGAAGGAGAGGTTTAATTTGGCTAATGGTTCAGGGGGTTCAGTCCATGTTATGTTGGCTCCAAGGCCAAAACATCATGGTAGAAGGGCCTGGCCGAGAAAGCTGCCCACGTCATGGCATCCAGGAAGTAGAGAGAGAAGGGAGGAACCAGCGAGGGAGATGTACCCACAACAGCACACCCTCAGCACCCCGCCTCTTCCAACCAGGCCCCACCTCCTACAGCACATTTAGCAATGAATTCATCAATGGGTGAATTGACTATGAGGACAGAACCCCCCATGACCCAGTCACCTTCCAAAAGCCCTACCTCTGAACACAGGAGAAGTGGGGGACATTCTAGACCGAAGCCATAACAGTGTCTTAGTCTGTTCAGGCAAGTATAACAAAGTACTTTAGACTGGGTGATTTTTTTTTTTTAATGGAGAGGTATTTTTCACAGTGCTGGAGGTTGGAAGCCTAAAATGAAAACACCAAAGATTCAGTGTCTCTGGAGGTCCCGTTCCTCACAGAGGAGACTTTCTTGCTGTGTCCTCACACAGCAGAAGGGGCCAAAGACGGGGTTATAAAGTCACTAGTCCCACGTGACTGACTTACCTCCAGGAGGCCCTTTCTCTTAGTATCACCGCATTGGTGACTAAGTGTCAATGTATGGCTTTGGGGGACACACGCACCCACAGCACAGGCTGAAGCTTGGAATCGGAGGGTGAGATCTGTGGCTGAGTGTGGTGTCCACTGAGATGTCACCGGACCTTGTGGAACTATCCCTATCCGTGCCCACCTCGTTTATTTCCTAGCACAGGGGGAGGTACTCAGGGGAGTTGTTCAGAACACAAACACTATGCCGGGCAGTGATGAACTTTGGGAGATTTTTCTGGACAAACTGAACTGTACTCAGTGAAAAGTTCATCCACTTTCCAAAATATTATTTATAAAGATACGCCTGAGTGCTGGTCAGAACTCCTGTCTAGGAGGACTCAGGAAGCCAGAAACACACCGAGTAGATTCTTCTTTTTTATTTTTATTATTTTTTAACCCAAAGCAGAGAAATTTGATATTTGGATTAACCTCTGAAACCCCATCCTAAGAAAAGGAGGCTGAAGCAGGAGGATGGCAAGTTCAAACCCAGTTTTGGCAACCTAACAACTTAGCAAGATAAAATAAATTAAAAATTAAAAGGACTGGGGACGTAGCTCAGTGCAAAAGGCCTTTAGGGGAAAATAGAAACACAGCTTTTGTAAATAAGGAGGGGAACAGGGGTTAGAGGGAGTGGAGGGGAACAGGAAAAAAAGAAGCACGTTACATCATGTACAGGTACAAATTCTCTATGATGAATGTGATCATTATGTACATCTAAAATGTACCAATAAAATTTTAAAAATGCAAAGAAAAATAAATAAATACCCCCCTAAAGGCCTTTAGCTCAATCGCCAGTATAGGAGGATAAAAGGTGAATGAAAAATGAGAGCTGGGTGTGGTAGCGCACGCCTGTAACCCCAGCACTCAGGAGGCTGAGGCAGGAGGATTGCTGTGAGTTCTAAGCCAGTCTGAGCGACAAAGTGAGCTCAAGTCCAGCCTGAACCGCATATCATTAGACTCGTCTCAAAAAGACAAAAAAAGGGGAGGGATGAAGTTCCAGTTGCTTAGGGCTGGAGATCAGAGCTAGGCCTTAGGGTGACAGGCAGGGGACACAGGGTGGCCTGGAGGGCAGGTGCGTTTGAGCTAAACCAGGCTGCATGCCCTCCTTTCCACACGCTGGCCCACCTGCCTAGGGAGCCTCCTGTCACCTGGCGTCCTCTCTCCTCCCTGCCTCCCCGCTGTGCTGCTTTCCTCAGCTCGGGCCACCCTCAGAATCATCCGAGGCGCCTGCCCTGTGGAGGGCGAGCTCTGCGGGGACAGGGACTCTCCATGGCCTCCTCCCGCGGCCCTCGAGGCCCTGCACAGAGCCAGCGCTGCTGAGATTCAGACCGTGGGGACCAGCAGGCTCCCTGGTCCGCTTCCCCCCTCCCAGCACCCCTTTGCCCCTTCGCTGTGTGTGTGTGTGTGTGTGTGTGTGTGTGTGTGTGTGTATGTGTGTGTGTGTGCGCGTGTGTGCTTTTCTTGAGCTGCACAGGAAGAAGGGTGAAGATACTGAAGTGTCCGCCCCACTTTTGACGCCTGGAAAGCAGTCCTGAGCCCCTTCTGGGTTTCTCTGTGTCTCCTTGCTGAGGTCCCTCTTGCTTGGTGTCCCAGCCGGGGAGGGCACAGAGGGGGATGCCAGTGACCGCTTCCAACCTCCCCGCCTCCGCCCACCGCGAGGCTGCGAACCTCCAAGCCTCCAAGTCTCTGTCTCAGCAGCCCCGGAGGTGAGCGTGTGGGCGGGGAGGGGCGGCCAGAGCCCCGACTCGGAATTTCCTTCTCGCCCTGGCTCCTCCGGGAGCCTCAGCCTCCCAGTTAGTTGGCAGAATGGGCCTGAGGTGCCAGCCTCCTCTCCACCAGCCCGGGCCAAGGGGCGCGCCGTGGGCTCCAAGAGACACCTGCACCCTCCTGCCTCTGCGCACCCCTCCTCCGGGCCCCTGTCCCACGGGCCCTACCCTCTCCCCCCCACAGCTCCCCTGCGCCCCCTGCGCCCCCTATTCCCTCTCCCTGGCCTCCAGCCTTTCCGAGCCTCTCCCCCTCCTCCTCCTTCCCTCTCTCCTGCGCCCCCATCTCCCTTCCCCTCTTTTCCAGGCTCGGAAGGTGATCCAGGGGTGCCTGACCCTCCTCCC